AGACCTTGAAGAACTAGTTTAACTAGATTTGATGTTTGATATACAAATTATCCAACTACGATACTGATAGCCGGTTATAGGTCACATACTAGTGGTGTTCTGGTGATCTGCATTGCACTTTCAAGACGGTCCCTAAGTTTTCGGGCAGTTTTGTGCTAGTATAAGTAGGCTATATTCGCGTCTTGCTTTATATTTTTTATTCATATTGCTGTACAATGTGGAGCTATCTAAAAGTGTGAAATATTCCCCTCGTTTTACTTTCCAATCCGAGCCTAATCTAAAAGGAATTACTGCCATGATCAGGAACATATTGCCGTTGATATGGCAAAAACCTAGCAAATATCGAACATAAAACCAACTTCACCACGATGAAGGACCGCATAACGCCCCCCAAGATGTCCCGTTATATAGAATTAATGGAGGAGGCGCATGTACTGCATACGGAGTAGAACTTTCCGCCGAGTTCATAGCTGTCCCAAGTTATACAATGTTAATAGCCCTCTACCAGCCAATCAGAAAATAGCATTTGTTGTTTCCGTGGGAATTCCAAAATAATCTACAAGCAATCCCGCTGCAAGCACGTTAATAACCATCGACCAGCCAATCAGAAAATAGCATTTGTTTTTCCGGGTAAATTCCAAAATTAGTTACATGGGATCTGGCTGCAAGTACGTTATTTAATGGAAAATTTGTGGTTACATCGAGCATAGCTTCCTTTTACCCAGGCCTTTTACCCTAGGCAACCCTTAATTAGAACTCATGAAGTAGCATTCAGGATACAATACTTTTACTTTTATTAAAATTAAATGATACATAGCAAAATGTAAATTAGACAGAGTTTAATCGGGATTTAGTAGCAACAGAAAGCCTCGAGAGAGTATTTTATCATGGTAAAGAACGCCTTGACTAATGCCATTTAGGGTGACCAGATAATCCATGTCAGGCAGGACACTCTGAGCTAGGACAGGAATTGTAAACTACCATTTCAATTAAAAGGACCTGGATTTCACTTGAGCACTGAGCTCTTGCTGTGTGCTGATTGGTCAGTCTCCTATAATCATGCATGTACTGTCTTTTTTCATTATTGCTGCTGTTTCTCAAAGAATTTCCCCATTGTGGGATTAATAAAGTCTAATCTAATCTAATCTAATGTGTCACTAATGCTAATGTGAAACAGCTGGATGAGTCTTTCAGTCAAGGAAACAAACCAGTCAAAGCACAAGAAGAGCTGTGGCCTGTACTACGAAGCGGGGTTACTGGCTTATCGGGGTAACTTGTTGGATTTAAGGTAGTCTGGGCAAAATGTAAGTGAGCGAATATGAAGTCCATTTAAACTGTGTTACCTTAAATCCGACAAGTTACCCCGATAAGCCAGTAACCCCGCTTCGTAGTACAGGCCACTGAACTATTTAGCCGAGCACAGGAGCCTTTCAATTTGAAAGTAGTTTGTAAAACCCAAAGTAGCTCAAAGTATCCTCCCTGACATGGATTATCTGGTCACCCTAATGTCATTCAACTGCTGACACTCACTAGATCTGACTCCAATTAACTTCTCTGTTGATATGGTTTCACTTGGCACTACCGGATGCTCAGCTCTTACATTTTACCTTCAGACTCTAGTTACCACGAGATTCTCTATCTTTTCTGGGACAAAACACTGGATTTTATAGCTGTTGTTCCCAAAACTATCTTGTACTTGTTCCTAGTGACATGTTTGTTATTGTTCATATTATTATTCGCAATTCTTGTTGACAGCTGTATTCTTGTGATGTATTATCAGTAGGGCTGGGAATTGATTAAAAAATAATGCAGTGTTTTCTGATTAATCGTGATTAATCACACCTTATATCAAAAGTAAAAATTCTGCGGTAAAAAAACATCCATGGCAAAAATTACTGTGATGAGAGAAAAAAAATAGCGAAAATATACATCTTATCATACAAATTGATTGTTGAAAGGTTTAAAAACATTACATAGTTTTATGTTACTGATTTTTGGCTACCTAACTAGGGACAATGGTTTAAAATCATCAAATCAGAGCAACAAAATACATCGTTTTAATATACTTAAAAAGTTATGGTAGTGTCAGTTGCACTACCCAAAAAACACTGTATTTCACCATAGTATATATTTCTTTCAAGAAAATTCACAAGTTTGTGAGAATGACCCATGCTTTAATATTTATTTAATGGTTTAAGGTAAGCTTATGATATACAGATTATTTATTTCAAACAAAAATACTACTTTCAAGCAAATACAAGATGGATTTGAGTGCTTTCAGAAAGACTCCATGAACAGATCACAGTAAGAAAAGATAAGGTTTTGTATTAAAAGAAGGAAAGTTAAACGGATTTTTAAAAATCACACACCTACGCGATTAATGGCATATTCCACAAGCATATATATAATAGTAAGCGCTCAACAGTCGGATCGACAGACAGTTTACTCCATAAGTTTTTTAAGGCATAAGCCTTCAATATAACTTTGGCAAATTACGATATTTTTATGCCATGTATGCTCTATGCTCCGACTAGCATTTTTAAAAAAAATGAAATAAACCAGATAACATTGGCTTCCCATGGGACGCTAATCTGAATGTTTTGATTTTAGCTCTGAATACTGAGATTCTGTGCAACGTCATAACCTAAACTCTCACTGTTTACAATCAGGAAGGAACACTATATACTACCAGTCAAAAGTTTTTGCGCACCACCGGTTTTTACCATAAACAGCATATTTTTTATTCGTTAAGCATTCCAAAGTTGAGTGAACAAGTATAAATGAAAATATAAGTGATATAAAACAAGTTTGCTTTATAACATGGAAAGAGTATGTAACGGTGCATGTCTGATATTTGATTAATTGGTTGTGTGGTGATGGCATAGTCAAATCACTTAACTTTAAAAGCACTAGTTAATTAACTGTTTAATTTCAGAATGCCTCGTTGTTTTCTGCTGTTATACCTGCTAGAGGAGGTTACTTTGATTAATCAAAGATATGACATCTTGCTAAAAAAAGGTACTCAAATGGTGAACATACTGTAATTTTTTTTGTTAGCAAAGAATATTGAGTGTATTTTTAGTAATTGCTAAGTGAGTAACATGCAAATGTAGAAAATCTCAGGGTGCGCAAAAAGTTTTGACTGATAGTGTCTATTGTAAAATCTTTACTCGTACTATTTTCCTTTCTGGGTAACAAAATGTTGCATGCCTTAATGCTATCTAAGAAATAATAACACGTTGTGGATTTAAAATGAACGCAATGCGTTAACGCCAAAATTCCCCAGCTTTAATCAGTCATACGTGTGGTTGTATAGGACAAATGCATCTGGTAACCCATTCACATGAGCACATTCGACATTTGTGGTTTTGGTTTTTAGCCGGTTGACTGTGATCAATTAAACTGGAATATTTGGGGCTTGCTGAAATTCTGAAACTCGCAAACAAAGCGTAAACCAAAAACAAGACAAAAATTATTTAGATCACATAAAATCATGTAATATACGAATATTAGTAATACATAGTATCTGTTAGTGTAAGTGCATCTTTAATGTAAATGTCTTGGCTTAGGTAGGCCACGCTGCGCATGTTTGTCTCTGCAACCAGTCTCACTCACGTGTTAGCAGTCTTTGTGACCGTTTCCCGCAGTAACTTTTAAACTTTTCAGTGCCGTTAATTTTGCACTTTCAATAATTAGTACAAAACGTAGTGCTCCCGGTGCGTGCAGTAGAAACTTTGTAAATACAGGGGTAGCCTATTGGTTTGTATGTTAAACAAAAAGCTTTTGATAGCAAATGACAAAGTAATTTTACATGCGAAGTGTTTAATACAGTACTATTTGTTTAGGAATTGGTCATAAATAGACTTCTCTGATATCGTTCAGGGGTGCGTTTCCCAAACAACGCCGGAAGTTAACATTAACGATACATCGTACTACGGTAGTTCAAACTAACCAACATCCAAAACCGTCGTACCACTGTAGTTCGAACCACGCATGTTCGGAACTATGGTTTTGGGAAACGCACCCCAGGCTAGCAGACTGTTATGGGTTGAGGTTAGCGTTGCCTATCCTTCGCGAATTTTAACTTTCGCGGGGATCTGCCACCCCTAACCCTCTCGAGTGTGAAGGGGTTTTAAATAAGGAAATTTTGATGTGAATGCCTGTTGTATTACTTAAATGAGCCTCAGTTAATTAGTCAGATATATTACACGTACGGGACAAAATCAAACACAGAGACTACAAGTCCTTTCATAGTAGTTTCGTTTGCTCACCTGTATGCACTCCCTAGGATACCCGTTCGGCTGCCTTTTGTGGGTTTCTGTTCTCAGCAGATGCAGCCCCCATGTGGAATTGTCTTGATTTTGATACGGAATTAAGGAGCCGAAGTATTCAAAACGTTAGCTATTTTGGGGGTAATCACCACTGACACTCAATATCGTTGTATTAACGTCATATTGTCAGTCAGGTACACTCTTTCAACGCTTATATAACAACTGGTAATGGTGCTAGTATAATTGTTATTTACATATATGGTATATACGAAGTGTTAAAATACAGGTCTGTATATTTAATTAAAAAAATTTCAGTCCCTGGGAGTGCTCTTTTTGAACTCTGGAAAGGCACTTACCATAAAATGCTACTGTAATTAACACACTGTATACGTGTCTGAACCTAAAGTGATCAGGCGACACTTACACATTGTGGCCGGGATTTATTTCATACATCAACGTATAGCCAACGAAAACTTCTTAAAATTGCATTAAAGGAATTATACCAATTAATGCCCAGCGTATATCCTCTTTCAAGAACGCTTGCAAAAATGCGGTACACTTCATTTTAGATATTACAATATTTTAGAGGAAATCCCGAATAGGTTACTTTTAGAATTATTATTTAAGTCTTATAATTCCAAGATACAGTAACAGGGCGAACGATTTGGCTGAATTCAGCCACGTCAAATTTAGAAATTTTTGTTCTGTAATTGATAAAAGTTAGAATCGGTACAGCAGGATGAACGGAGCAGGGTGAATGTTCAGAGGCGTTTTGAACTTTCTTTTTCCTTTTTTTCTGGTTTTCACTGGGACTCCCTAGCCCGTGAACAGCACACGCCCCGAGACACTGGCAGGAATTGGGAAACGTCATGGATATTTCGAGCAAACTTTCCGGCCTTTGCTCAAAACCATACGCCGCAGTTTCGGGAAGGTTTAAATGCCTTTTTTAGAGAAACATTTCGAATAGAACAAAGCGGACAGATAATGTCGCAGCCGAAGAGTGGAAGTGTTGGATTTGAAAATGGGAAGATGACAGGTATGCAGAAACTGCATTCCATTTCACAAAGCTAGTTATTTTTATGACATAGGAGGGATTATACGACTGGTTATTCTGAGTTTGCGGGCGGTTTAGTTCCTTTCTGATTTGTAATAGGCTTAGTATTTCTAAGTTAAGTAACCGCATATTGTTCTATATAGCTGTTCCTCTCAGTAGTCTACTCCCTTGTACGTGTTCTGACAAGACGTCTACACCGGGGCTTCAAAAAAAATGTTGTGGCACTCGAAACGCCTGATAGTTTAATTCTTCCAGGAACAAATCTTATGCGAAAGCACTTGGATGAAATGTAATACAGTAAATTGTGTTTTGCAGATTTTGTTGTGCAGCACATGACGGGCAACGGTTACACTTAAATTTACAAACATGGGGATGTATTATCGCAAAATTATCATAATATTCTTATGTGAATCAATGCAAACTGAAAGAGCATTTTAAAGGAGTGCTGTCTGTGGATGTCAAACTCTTTTACGATACAGTGACGCCATATAATGACCGATTGTTCTTTCGGGATCTGCTGGGATCCTAAGGACATAAGATAGGATTGGGACGGATTTAGGGCAAATTGATCACTTTACTTCGTCTGATTCCCTGATTCTCAGACACAAGACACGTCGGCTAAAATGGCGACATTTAATTTTCACATGAATGGTCGTGTTAAATACAAAGCTGCAATTTATTTCTTTCTTTTGATAAAACAGATTTTACCCACAAACTGTGAATGGATTAAGTGAGGCATTAAGCAGTGCTATAGAAATCCTTCCCAGCCTTGCACTATGCAGGACCTGCATAAGACAGGTATTTTCAGGCAGAGCAAAACAAGTTACTGTAGGCCTGCAAGAGATGCTGGACTGAGATTACCTTCTGAACAAGGCTCGTCAGAATATCTTTTCAGTAACAGCGCTTCTAGAAAAAAGGACAATACAGATTGAATGGGATGTAATTTGTATTGTTTCCCAAGTAGCATACTGTAGCAAATTGTATTGTACGTAGCCAGGGCTGTACTGGGATTAATTTGTTTTGTTGCTGGGGGCCTCACCTAGGGCCAAGATATTTGTGGCATAGGCCTATATTTTCTGCCTTCCGATTTTGCCCACAGTTGTATGTTCACTTGGGTCTTATGTTCACAGCCGATGATGAGGTTTGAGCTCACATATTGGGGGTCAGTCTTTAGTAACGCTACTTCTCACAGTTCTAAATAGTGTTATTAAATAAGGAGTTTTGTTTATCAGTTTCTTTATGTTGCATAAAAGACCACAAATGGTGCCACCATACACACACACAATGGTCATCCGTAACCTGGATTCATCGCTGAACATGGTACAATGCCACTCGTCACCAGTCCATGCCTCCCGGTTACGGCACCATTCCAAGCCCAGCCGTTTCTGCGCTGGTGTTAATGGTAGCCTATGCATGGGACGGTGAACCTGTAGTCCGGCTGATGCCAGTCGACGAGACACGGTGTGGGATGGCATGGGGTGTCCAATACCTGTGTCTGGATGGCAGGCGCAGATGTCATGGGGTTCTGTAATGCTGGCCGCACAATACGACGATCCTCCCTTGGTGTGGTCTGTCTCGGGCGACCTTCACGACGTGTGTGGGTGCCCTCATGTGCCTATTGGTTCCAACATCGGGCGACTGTGACATCTGCATGCCCCACACGTTGGGCAGTTGCACGATACGGCCACCCAGCCTCATGCAAACCCACAATGTATCCCCTATGAAACTCTGTCAAGTGCTGGTAATGCTGTCTAATGCTGTCTAATGCGTCATACGAGGCATCCTCTGTTTCTGGTGACTAGACGTGTCAGGTCTTTGCAAATCGAATCATTTACATACCCACCGCTGGTCGGCACATGTACCAAATTACATCCAAATCGGTCCATTACTTTTGGGTGCTTAACTGAGTGTGTGTGTGTATATATGCTAGGCCTATAGGGAACATTTGTTCTTGTTACCCCACATGTAGGGATAATGTTTAAAACCATATACCAAACAAATTTTTGAGAAATTATTGGTCAAAAATTATTGATTAAAAGTTATATGTTTATTATTTATTATTATATTGTTAATAGGCCCAAATGGACTGCGATCATTTAACCACGTTCCAGTCTTAAACCAGCGTCCTGGTGACATATGTGTGCTGTCCGGATATGTAGCCTATGCATTAATAACAAACATAAGAGCTGTTTTCCCTAATAATTTTTATGTGCAGTAACTGGTAAACTAGTAGGCCTAACCGTACCTAATTGCTAATTTTCAGTAATTTGAACCAGACTGTCCCCGACACTCACGAACGATCTGTTGTTCCGCTATTCAGTGGCAATAAAATTAGTCGGTAAGAAATTTATCTGCAGCAACCCCGCCACACCCTGGCAAATTTTACTGCAATTCTTTCACCCTGATAGGCAAATTTTACCGTGAGAAACCCCCAGTAAGCCAGCACTAGGCTTGGGCGGTATGTAATTTTTAATACTGTTATATGGTGCAGACATCATACTGCAGTATGCTATGCGATATTCTGGCGGTGTTTTTAAAAGCACGATTATGGCATTTCCTGATAAAATTAGCCATAAGCAGGGCTGGGGGGGGGGGGGGTGTTACCTTAATACCACCCAAGCTGAGGCAGCAACCCTGTCTGACTTTAAAACTGCAAATTCAGATGTATGTTTGTTTCCAAGTAAAGTAAAGCTTGATTGTCATCTCAGGCAGGTACAATACACAGTGAAAGGAAATGGCCGGACAGACTTTGCAGTGCTGAAGACAGAGTTTTGCTCTTCTGAATTTCAAGCGTTAATATAACAGAACCATGTCGATGCTTTAGGACGTAACCCATCCCTTCAAAGGAGTGACCTTGGAAGCTGCAGGATCACAGAAATCCCATCCTGAATGAACTCGAAATAACATTCTTTTCTGTTCTTAGGCTTAGAGGGGAACACAGATGTTACGTTCATACAGTCAGGAGGGTACCTGACGAAGATACGTTCAGCCAAATGGCAGAAAGAACGCTACTACAAGCTTCTGGATGACTTCAGCACCGTGTGGTATGAGTCGAGGAAGATGGTGGGGCGCAAACAGACTTGTAAGTCTCTTTTATTTCTCACGTCTGACAAGCTTTACCTTTAACATAACTAGCAGATGCTTTTGTTCAAAGTGTTATACAAGTGAGACAAACATTTATGCTGTCAAGGAGTCAAATATACTGTGAGAAAAAAGAGTAGCAATTTGTACCTTTGCTTGTCACTGGGGCTGTACCTTCAAGAGTCTGCCAATTGTGCCCGTAAAGCGTTTTTCAGGCCGAACGCTCTGAAACCCGTTATTTCGTATGGCTTCCACAGCGTGAGAACAGTTTTACCAGGTGTGTTTTGACAGTTAACGTAGTTTGTTGGCAGTCTATATGTGAAACAGCATGTGATAACCACAGACCTACTTAAATGAAAGAATGACATAAGGAGGTATAGTTTTAATACATATATCAGTGTCACAGAAAACTTAACATATTTTGTCCACTTATATGGAGTGTACAAAGAGCAGGAAGAACCTCAGGGACAGGTATTTAAAGGGGGAGAAAGAAAGTGAGAGTAAAGAAGAGTGGTGCAGGGTAGACCAGAAACCATCCTGGAAATATTTGGCCATCATGAGCTTCCTGGAGCCTTATGCCAGGGAGAGGGTCACCTCCTCTAACATGTCCCCATTCCTAGAGAACAGACCCTCTAGTCCCCAAGATACAATCAACTCCCTTGCCAGCATCAGCACCTGGCACCGCCTCTGATGCTGAAACAGTCGATCTCTACCTGCCTGGAATATTTCCCAGCACCCTGACTACCTCTTCAGTCTACATTACCAGAACCTTCATCTCTGGCCCCTGCTGTGTCTCAGGAGCCTGGCCCATCCACCTCAGTACGCAGCACCCCAGAGGGGTGAAGACAGGCCAAAAAAAAGGCAGAGAGATGAGTTTGAGAGCAAGATTTTGAAAGTTCTCGAACAGTCTATTATTAGTTATTTCTGCCCCACGTCTAAGAAACCCGCCACCAGAAAAAATAAGTGAAGTGAAAATTGAGCTAGTGACAGCTTTACACAGGGCAGGTTAAGTGATAGATTAATTTTTGAGTGTTTTCGTTTTTTTCCATTGTTACTTTTCCAAGCAGATCAGTTAATTCCTTAAAAACTGAGTTCATGGTCATTCAAAAAAGTTTTTTGATTATGGATTAAGCTACTAGATGTAATGTGTATTATTATTATTATTATTAAAAGGTGATGTGGAAGACAGTTCATAAAATTTGAAGTTGAGATGCAAATATTTCAGTTACTGTTTATGGTTAATTTTACAGTACATATCTAGCCATGTGATGCTGTATTTCAAGATGCAATGTTTTTTTTACCAATTGAGTTCTTAAATTGGTCATAAATGCTTTGAGATTACACAAAGTAGGGGATGGACTTCCTCTAACTATGAATGCAAAAGATAGTCTCCTGATCAAACCAAAAGGAAACATCCCTTTACATGAGTCAAAGTGTGGTTCTTTGAAAGAGCCTTTGTTTTATTTTGAAGAGGAAGAGGAGCAGCAAGTGTGGGTTGCAGAGATGATAGGTGGGTGCGTCAGGCTGCAGTGTACTGGCAGGGCCTCTCTCCAGCGGCTCCGGAGAAGTTACTATGTAGGTGGCACCCACTCTTCTCAGAGGTTGAAGGGAAGGGATCTTCTCTTCTTCGTGTGAAATGGGAGCTTCTGGTGTGGAATTCCACCACTGGAGGTTGTGAAGGGCCACTGCTGCTTTCACACCGGCGGCTACGTTTGTGGAGCTCACTGGTCGATCCTCCACTGTGCAGCAAGAAAGGCATTTTCAGCAACTCTCCTGGCACGTGAGAGATGGTAGTTAAAAATCCTGTTTGGTTGGGAGAAGTTCCTTCCAGCATGTTCGTTGCAATAGAATAGGGAAAGAACACGTTAAAATTAAATAAAATGAAGCAATAATAAGAGATTAAAAAATCACATACTGAATAGAGCTCTAAGCACTGTTGGCTTGCTGACCAAAGGGGGCGAGATAGGACATAAGTCTTGAGAAGCCTTTTGATGGAGATGCCTGTCCATTTATGGCCCTGCAAGCAAGCACCGAGGACTATAAATTAATGGGAGCACCAGTAGGGAGCCAATGAAGATAGAGAAGGAGGGTGTGACATGAGGACCTTTAGGCTGAATGAATATTAGATGCAGTGTCGCTTTATGAGACATCCTCAAGTATTAGGGGGATCGTGAGAGGCTCAGCAGGTTAGTCCTAGGGGTGTCAGATAAATGGCCTGATCCTGCATTCAAACCCCAAGCACACACTCTGAATTGGAATTTTTACTCCGGTAAAAATAAGAGACCACTCCATATATTTTTTTAAAATCTGCATTTTTAAACCTGTTGTGATCCTGATTCTGCTGGCAGAAGGCTACACAACAGATCACTTCCAGGCTCAACATTTGTAAGACAGCAGTACAAGGTGAAGCAGGAGACACTGGGAAAGACCAGAAACCAGCAAGGTAAAGGACAGAAGGGACTTTCTAATGCCAGAGATGACCGTCAATTTATCCGACAGTTTCTCATGAACCAGAGGATGACATCAAGTGACCTTCAAAAGGAATGGGAAATATTAAGTGCAGGTGTGACATGCACTGCTGGGACAGTTCGTGTCAGGCTATTAGAAGTAGGACTGCAGTCCAGTAAAGCAAAGAAGAAACCCATAAATTGAGAAATGAGTGAAACAAAAAACTGTGCTGTGGTCTATTAATTTTTTTCCAGAGCTGTATATTGCCTTGTACAGACCAATGTGGCACCAGAACTGGTACCGTGCTTTGTCCCCGATCCGGAACTGGTTCCACATGTTTCGACCACAAAAAAATGGCCCTCAGCCAGAAACAATGGCTCCAGAACGGCACTACAGAAAAGCAGGTCTCAGAATTTGAAACCATAACATCAGCAAAAGTGGGACGTCCAAACCTTCTGCATACCCAGAAAATTCAATCCATAACTAATATATCACTCATGCCAACTGGGACACTTGCCAGCTGATTAGTGGAAAAATGTTATCTATACAGGCAATAGAGACGAAGCGCAATGAGTCACACTCTGAAAACTTTTTTCGGTTTGGCAGCTTATAAAAATTTAAAATCTGAAACAGACCGAAATAAATGAAAAAAATGGAATGCATATGAACTTTTACTTTACTCTCACTTCAGCCTATGTAGCATTTCTGTTCCATTCTTTTTGGAAACCAGTGGAAACGCGGGCAGGTTCTCAAAAAGCACCAAGCGAGAACCAGCCCGGCAACTGCACTAGCATTGGCTTCGTGTTCGTGGAAACGGGGCATATGTGTCTATCTCAAAGGAGAGTAAGATGAGATATGTGAAAAGAAATGATACTCGTGCAAATCACAAATAAAGCATCATTCTGTAGTGAGAGCCACATGTGAGAGCAATACATTTCATGAAAAAGTGTACTCTATTCTAATTGCAGATGTTTTCAATGGAATATTTATTTGATATTGGCCAAGAGAAAGAGGACACTAATACTGCAGATTTCTAGCGATCTAGGCAGTGTCTAGAATCTCCGAGGGCGGGGTGTGTGTTTCTGAAATGTTGTTCGGCTGACTGCATTCCTGAAATGGTCAAAGCTCACATGGAATGCTGTAGAAAAGCAGGTTTGGACAGGAGGGAATGGCACCTTTGTCAGTGTGTGGCTCAGCAGGTTCAGACACTGTACTGCATGATTGGAAGGTTGCTGGTTTAAATCCCAGGGTCAGCCCAGTGATTTCACCATTGGCCCCCTGAGCAAGGCCATTAATCCCCAATCGTTCCAAAGCCTGGCTGATCCTGCTTTCCCAACTGTATGTCACATCTGCTAAATCAAGGTTCCCCAGTCCCAGTCCTGGGCAACCCAAATTCACTGGAGATGTCAGCTTTTAGATAGAACTTTTTTGTTTCAAGTATGAATCTATTATGATAATTTATTCTCTTAGCAAAAATTCCCCAGATAATATATTGTTTAATAAACTTCTCAGCCATGCCTTAAACTGAGATTATATTCCGTGTTTCTTCTTATTGTTTTGAAAGGAAGCTATTTCCTTGTAACTTGTTTTATACTTTTTAACATAATAAAAACACTGTATGCAATGAATATGAGCAACATGCAATTATACAACCATTATCATAAAGCCAAAGTGCTTCTTAGGTCTGTATACAGTAGTTAATGCAATGGAACAGCGGTCATCAGCACAGAGGTGGTACTTCTACAAGGTTTCTAATGTTCCGAGGCTATATGAAGTCTACAAAAAGGAAGCAGTAATCTTTGAGTAACGGAACACAGGTTGGAAGTCTGTAATATGGCTGGAATAGAGTGCAGTCAAAGAGTTTAGTAGCGCATGACAGATGCTGAGATTCCACATAGCAGCAGCTGAATAGCACCTGGGAAGAGACAGCGGCATATACAGGGTCAGAACCGCAGGGGCACTGGCACCAGCTGAAAGCTGATTGGCCACCAGGGTGCCCACCTCCCCATCCCTCATTAGTTTTTGATCTATATCATCAGCTAGTGATATCGTCATTTTATGAATTATGGCCCCTCTTATTCCCCCCACCTTTAAAAAATGCTATAATTGCCCCAGGGAAAATATTTGGCCAAGAATGGTGAATAGTTGTATCAAATGTTGAAGATAGACCCAGGACAATGATTGCAATGGTTAGAAAGGGTATGAGATAGGAATGTTTCTGTTCGCTTTGTTTCAAGAGTTCTGAGAACAAAAAAGAGCTAGTAGATAATACTAGTGTTTTGACAACAGATGGGTAGGAGCGATTTTGGGTGGAGTTCCTTGGGAGAGATGACTCATGCATGTTTGTTGGCCCTGGGTTATGAGCCAGCAGACTGGGACACGATGACGTTAAAGAACCGAAGTTACAGGAGACTCAGGAAGGCTGGGTGTAGGGTTGGGAGTAACTTGAGCTCAGAGCTGAGTTTAGTAATAAAATCTGCACTCTCACAGAAAATGGCAAAGTAGCTCAGAGTGGTAGCACACGAATCTAACCCCAGCTTTCTTTGCATGGAGACTGAATGTTCTGCCAGACTTTCCTTTAGCTCTTCTAGTTTCCTCACATAATCTAATCAGTCACGGTCAGGTGATTTGGCTTATCTAATTTACCTTTCAGGTGGCCGCATGTAAAACACATCAACGAGAACAATCTGTCACATACTTAAACCGATGCCGCAGCCTTGTTTGTGCTGTCATGCAACAATCCTAGAAAGCGTACGATGCTTTTGATGCAGCAAACCCAAACACAGAGCGAACATAAACAAATACTTATTTGCAGTTTCTGCTCATAAATTGCAGGTTGTCTGCACATCTTTAAATTTTGATGTGACCTGATATATAAACATGGATCATTTTTTCAGAGAGTCTTCCTTCAAAGGCATTCATGATTGCAGAGTCCTTTGTTTTTATTTCTGGATCATTGCAGGGCATTAGTGATGCACGAGAGAGCGTGTTCTGTGTAGCCAGTTGTGGACAATGGGTAGTATCCAAACAAACAAAAACAAATCACCTCGGGGTATTCCAAAACGGTGATCACTGTTCATTGACGTTGTATTGCTAAAACGACATTGCTCCCATTGATTTTGTCTGATGCATGTGCCTACAGTATCTTTAGTCAATTATTCTTTTCTGATGGACGAGTGAACTGCTAATATGGAGCCATACTGGAGGGAAGACTGAAGGGCAGGTAAAACTTAGCATAGTCTCCATCAATATGGCCATGGCTAACTTATTTCCAAACACATCGTCAGTTTTCATTGACCTGAAGCTGTACAGTTTTAACTTTCATCCATCTTTTAGGGTTAGGGTCACAGCGGAGCTGGAATCTGTCTTAGGCAGCATAGGACACAAGGCTGGGCTACAAATGCAAATCAGTATACGAATCAAAAAGTCAAAGGGGAATTTTTGTTTACTTGTTATTGATTCTGAATGGTGTGATTCTCCTTCCCATTTCTCAGTTAAAGCATCTGTTGGTAATTAACAAGAACCAAACAGCAACAACTCTGCCTCCAGATGCAGGAAACTTGACATTGATCGTTCATGAATGAACTATATTAGTAGCTTCACAACTCAGGATGATTGAACAGTCACATGCCAAGATCTTGTATAACATTGCAAATATATTTCTGTTCGGCCAGTTGTCATTTTATGGTGCTTTGGGATTGTGTTTTGCATGGTTTTTCTTCTTTTAATATTTTGTTAAAGACTATTCATTATAATTAACATATTTTATGTATAATGATACTTATGAGTTTGTTTATTATTTTCAGTTGCACTAAATAAATCATGGATATGCACTCAGTTTTGTTAAATTGCAGGTACTTCTACGTTAAAAACGTAAATTGTTATTATGTAAACAATCTTTTTTTGCTGTTCAGGGGCTTGGAAACACTACTGCACTTTTATTCTGATTTGAACGTTTCTAAAATGTTGTTTTTGGTTTGCGTGCCTTTCTGTGTCCTGACATGGTCTCTGTTCACAATAGCCTACCCAGTTTGCGATACCCGCAGGCTTACTGGGCGCCACAAACAAGATAAGAGGAGGTGCTGTAGCGCGAGTTTGGTAATCAACTCCTTCTGTCTGCTTCTGGCTTCTTGGAATGACAAAGTCAGCAGTATGGAGAAGAGATCAGGCAAACTTACTTTGTATTAGCTTTCTGTAAAAAAATTTCCTTTTTCTGTACCTCAGCACAACCCCAGATTTTGACTGAAACTTAAACAAAAACATCTCTAAGATAGCGGTGGTTAATCGGTAGGAAAAAAGGGGATAATGTCTGTTTCTCACACATAAATGCAGGCTTGTGTCCCAGGCTCCACCCCTCAGCTACTTCCTCTCCAGCCTCTTTCTGATTGGTGCAGAGCTAAAGGGAGACGGCACTTATCACAACCCAGGAATTATCTCTCCTTGGAGGCACATCTGGCGTCCCGAGGCGCCGTGCCTGTGGAAACTGGGGAGGGCAGGCATTGATAACCTTCTCTGCTTTGGGCTGGTGCTTCTCTTTAAGATACCAGCCTGAAAATTCAGTTAACGAAGCAGGAGGACTTGTGTCAAAGTTTTTTGCAAAGGTGTTGTAATCTGAATGGTATAAGAAAAAATTGATGCATAGCTAATTGGTTTAAAATGGCAAATTAATTTTGCCATTGAAGGAATAATATCCCACCAGCCAGTTTCCAAACATTTATCCAGTACATGGTCAAGAATATATTTTTTGGCCCTGCTCTGATATATCATGTCTCTTTCAAGTTCAGAGATCAGGGTGATAAAGGAGGTTCTGTTTGCTTTGATTCCTTTTTTAGAGGAAGGTACAGTATTGTGGTCAGTCTCTTATTTGTTGTGCATGCGGAGGATGTACATGTTTAATGCGCAAACCCCAAAAGTAGGATCGTTTTAAGCTCTGCTAAACCAAGCATTTGCATGCTCCTAGTGACATTCTGGATTAGTGGCTGTCACTCTAATAAAAGGGCTTGCAATTAATGCCAGTTTGGTTTTCAGTCACTCCCGCATCTGAAACACGCTCTTTGAATCACACTGCTCTGTAGACAAACAATATGCTGGCCTCCGTTTTCCAAGCCACTGCAGAACAGTGATAACATGCACTCCTTTATTGTGCTGCCTGAACACTGACGTCATGCCTCAATTTATGCAAACATACTCAATCCATTTTTTTTGTTGCCTTCGAGACAAGACCTCCACTGACCTAAAGTCAGGCTTCCTCAGCATACAGTATATGGACAAAAGTATTGGGACACACCTCTTTAAATTCAGTCATTAAATTCAGGTGTTTCATTCAGACCCATTGCCACAAGTGTATAAAATCAAGCACCTAGCCATGCAGTACGACTTACAAACATCTGTGAATGGGTTGTTCTGAAGAGCTCAGTAAATTCAAGTGTGGTACTGTCATAGGATGCTACAGTTTGTGAAATTTCTTCCCTGCTAGATATTCCACAGTCAACAGTAAGTGGTATTATTGCAAAGTGGAAGCATTTAGGAACAACAGAAAGTGTCAGACCATGTAAAGTAACAGAGTGGGGTTGCCGATTTCTCAAGAGCATAGTGCGTAAAAGTTGAAAACACACTGCTGACTCAATAACTGCAGAGTTCCCGACTTCCTCTGGCATTAACCGCAGCAAAAAACTGTGCACCACGAACTTCATAGAATGGGCCTCCACGGCCAAGCAACTGCATGCAAGCCTCACATCACCAAGCACAATGCCAAGCACTGGATGGAGTGGTGTAAACACACTGACACTGGACTCTGGAGCAGTAGAAACATGTTCTGTGGAGTGATGAATCAGGCTTCTCTCTTTGGCAGTCTGATGGAGTCTGGGTTTGGCAGAAGGCAGGAGAACGTTACCTGTCTGACTGCACTGAGCCAACTGTAAAGTTTTTCAGGGGTTGGTCTAGGCCCCTTAGTTCCAGTGAAGGGAACTCTTAATGCATCAGCATACCAAGACATTGTGGACAATTTTATACTTCCAACTTTGTGGGAACAGTTTGAGGAAGGACCTTTTCTGTTCCAACATGACTGTACCCCAGGTGTCCCAGTACTTTTGTCCATATAGTGTATGTTGCAGCATTGCGAACCAAAACTCATTCAGTCTTCATGTAATCCAGTGAAGAATTTGAATTTAAAAAACTCCTTAAATTGTTATCAAAAACATATCCATGAGTTTTGGAAATTTGCTCTTCATGTATAGTTAAATCACATGAAAGGTCAATGATAAATGTTATTATAATAAAATAACGAACTATGTATTTAATGTTAACATACTGTAGTTAACATACCATCTAACTAATCTTCAACTGTATAGAGAGAGTGTGTATTTGTCATTGTAGCTTGCAGAGCATTGTGTGTTCATCCATTAACTGGTCGCCACGAGACATTGCATGATATAATTTTTTTAATGGTGTGAAGGAACACAGGGCAGACATTTCCTGCAGATAACATGGATGACCATTGTCCCTTCCCTACAATCTGTTCTTCTTTGAGGTGACCTCTGTATAAAGTTGGGAGGAGATGGTTGACATAATTCCTGTCTTTTTCCTGATCACAAGTCTCCGTCAACGATATTGACTCGGTGAGGCACGGCAGGCAGACAGAGGGACTACAGCGGTTTGTGGGGGAGAAGCTTGAGGGCCGCTGCTTCTCCATTATCTTCAAAGGCCGGAAGGAGAATCTGGACCTTATCGCAGGATCAGAAGAGGATGCATCGCACTGGATCACAGGTCTTGAGAAGGTTGTCAACATGATGCAGCACTTCAGTCGACAGCAGAGCAGTGAGCAGTATCCTTCCATGATCCCCTATCCTTCTGTCTTTATAGGCTCTGAGGAAAACAGGGTTATATCCAATATGATAGGAGATGCCCATCTATGGAGAGTGAACTCTGTCCTTATAGGATCTAGGGCAGGGGTCTCCAACTCCGGTCCTGGAGAGCTACCATCCAGTAGGTTTTCTGTCCCACTTGGCTTCTGATGAGCCACACCTGCTCCTGGTATTTACCTGAGAACAGGTGTGGTTCATCAGAAGCCGGGTATGACAGAAAACCTATTGGATAGTAGCTCTCCAGGACCGGAGTTGGAGACCCCTGATCTAGGGTAACAGGGTCACACCCACTGTGATAGATGATGCCCATATTTGGAGAGGGAGGTCTGTACTTATAGAGTCAGGGGGAAATAAACACCCACTGTGATAGGTGATGCCCGTAAATAGAGAGTGAGCTCTGACTTCATAGAGGGTATGCACATGATGGTTCTGGATAAAAGCAGTTCACAGCTGGTGTGATAGGTGATGTCCAAAGTTTTGTTAAATATGAGCAGGGGTCACTAAGGGGGTCACTAAGGTGGTGCCCCCAAGGACCACATGAGGCGCCCGCGGACCTGTTCTAAAAATAGCACAGCTATCAATACAGTGAACAGTGTCTAAAATGTAATTTTATCCTGTTGCTATTCTTCTTTAATTATATTTGCATTTATATAGATTTGATAATTACAATATCTAAAGAAAATCATTTAAAACATGTTTATCGTGCATGAAGTTTAGATAAGTTTAGGAGGGCGTTTCAAACTGGTAGCCCATCGTATAGCTCAGTACCCGTGAAGTAGCTCCCAGTTTCAAAAAGGTTGGTGATCTCTGATCTAGAGGATGTGCCACCAAAATTAATATTTTAAAAAATCCATTCAAAATGTCCATTTAAATTTGTTCAAAATTGTTTTGGTGAACCTAAATTGGTAACAAAGCTTACCTAATGCCCGTAGTGGGCATCAAGAAATTATGTAACCTTTCAATCAGCCATTATATAGCGTGGCTGAGTTCCCTTGACGTAGCACAAGGCTTTTTCCTTTATTATATTTTCTTGGTTTTGGCTAGAATCCTTACATTAGTTGTTTAGCTGGATCTTCACCTGCATGCGCAAAGCAGACAAGGACAATGACAATAGGATGAACCTGAAGGAAATTAAACACTTTCTCAAGCAGATCAACATCCAGGTGAACGACCATTATGCAGAGCAAATCTTTAAGGTGAGGAAAAATTACATTACATATACTGTATAGTGTATCTCTTAAGTAGAATGTACAAAATGCTGTTAAAAATGTCCAGTTCATGAAGGATTAAAGAAGCTGAGTATGGAAGGCTGTTGTAGGAACAGTCGCAGTCCTGCCCAGGCTAGCATGATTTTCACTTAGCAACTATTTCATGTTTTCCCATAAATACACACATATTTACACATATAATAGAACTGCATGCAGTTAATTGTGAGACAGCTGGTACCTTTTGGCACATATATTAATTATAGAAAGTCTCCACCCAGTCCTCAGGGGCCCCCAGACAGGCCACATTTTGGCTCCCTCCCTGCTCCCAGCCAATCAAGCACAACATATACCGGGTACTGGTGTGCTGGGAGATGAGGTCCCCAGGGACTGGGATGAGAAACATTTATAACAATTTCTCAAATTTTGATGTGACACCTAGCAATGCGACACCAATGGCTCAGGCACACTGGAGGGGGCCGAGATCATGAAGTTTTACAGCATACTGACCAAACGGGAGGAGATCGACACCATCTACAATGAATTTGCCCGTACGAACAACCTCATGGGTGCCACCGACCTGCTTGACTTCCTGCTGAACCAGCAACGGGAGCAGTTGTCCTTGGAAGATGCTCACCAGCTGATCCAGAAGTATGAGCTGGATGAGACAGGTGAAGGAGCTGGATTGTGTCCCATCTTCGTTTTTGTTTGCCGATACAGTACAAATTCTTTAAACGGCATGAAATTTCCACAGTATGGTATTCAATCTTAAACCTGTTCTTCTTCTGAATTGCAGCCAAACAAAACCAGTGCATGACCAAAGATGGCTTCTTAATGTACCTGCAGCAAGAGGGTGTGATATTCAATCCTGCGCACAAGGATATCTATCAAGACATGAATCAGCCCCTCAACCATTACTTCATCTCATCCTCCCATAACACTTACCTAATGGAGGATCAGCTGAAGGGTCCCAGTAGCACTGAGGCCTACATCCGGTACGTATGCCAACCCTGGCAAATGGGGGGCAGTCTTCATGTGTCAGGGAGCCAATGAAATGCCAAAAGGCTGGTGTCGGTCCTCTTGACGAATCATGTGTCGTGTAGTCCTGATGATGTCTTTTGTTAGTATAGCACGATACCATAGCAAAATTGAAGTCCAACTTGTTTGTTGGGCCGTGGGCCTCACTGCTGCCATCTTTCTCAGAGCACTGATGAAGGGCTGCCGCTGCGTGGAGCTTGACTGCTGGGACGGGGTCGAAGGTGAGCCGGTCATATACCACGGCCATACCCTCACCTCTAAAGTCCTCTTCAAAGATGTCATCAAAGCCATCAAGGAGTACGCCTTCAAGGTGTGTCAAGTGTGTCCGCCTCACAGCCTTCGCACAGAGATTTATCACGACGCAGATCTCTGAATACTCCACTTGTTTGGCTTGTCTTGGTCCCCAGGTCTCCGAGTTCCCGGTCATCCTCTCCATGGAGAACCACTGCTCCATTGAGCAGCAGAAACGCATGGCCTATCACATGATCAATATTCTGGGCAGTGCCCTGGTGACGGAGCCCTTGGGAGACACGATGCCCACCAGCCTGCCCTCACCGAAGGTGAGACACTGCATTCCTGGTAGCCTTGGACCCACACCTTCTAGAATATTCTACCACAAACAACTATTTATGACACATTGCACTTTAGCTGAGAAACACCTTCCCTTCTGTTGATACAAAAAGCTTTTGTAAGAGTATAATTGGTTCTGACCCACTGTTCACAACTTAGGCAAATTAGTATGTGCTATACAAAACCCAAGCACAATATAATTTACTGTAATTACACATACAATAACGGGCTGTTATTAATTTCCCTATATACCCATCTCACTGGTCCTAGAAGGTATAGTTTACTATTATTGACTTTTTATTGCTCTGTTTCTGTGGATAGCTTATATGCATGCATACACTGAGGATCATCACAGGACAGACCCTCATTGGGTAGCTGAGATGTAGAGTATGGATGAGTATAGTTTAATTAGGAACGGTGTGCAGGGCGCTGTAGTAGCCACATGAGAACCACAAAGTGCATGTAGCTTGCTTCCTCCTTCATTGGAGATACGAGATACAGAAAAGAACTGTGTGAGACTGGTTTTAAATCTCATATTTCTGCTCTGTATAGATATTTCTGTGTACTCAAACCCTGTGTACTGAGATAAGTATATCAATTTCACTCTCTTGTTTTTCTCCTTCGGAACAAAGATTGTGCAAATTAGAGCTTTTTTGTGGCTGGTTCCAGTCTATGATTGTTGCTCATATGATCAGCTGCAAGATGGTCCCTCTGAAACAGAGCCCACAGCCTAACTGGCCGTTGCTCAACATGGCAGAGTGGAGATCTGACATGGGCATCTCATGTGGTCACCTTTAGCATGATTGGTCTTCAAGTCGCTCTTTGCAGGAGGGTCTCGTTCAGTACACTGGGAATGAATAGTGAGGAAAATATCATGTGAAATAGAGACGAATCAAACGGCTGGACCGCAAAGCATGTAAAAAATGTGGGCAGCTGGTTTCAATTTGGGATGTTAAATACACAGATCCATTCTTCTAAGAAACGCTTGTTGTGTGACAAACTTGTAAGTGCACCCTGTCCTATATGGATGGGATTTTTTTTGTTTTTTGTTTTGATTCATGCTGAACATTGCCATAAAACCACATAAGCTATGCATCTATATAATAAAATAAACAAGAATTCATATGCTAAATTAAACCTTATTATACTAGTTTGTTATTGAGGACCCATTATAAATTATTTACCTGGTGATTTATGGGTGAAAACATGCACTTCTGAGTGCCTGTGGATGATATTGGTGTAACGCTTGGAAGCGTGAAGGAGGTCATCTTCGTTAGCTGGAAGCTTCACTTTCTGCTCATTGACGTCAGCAGAGATGCTATGAAATGCTAACTGCACTGCTGGCTTTGGTCATCGGCAGGAGCTGAAGGGCCGCATCCTGGTCAAGGGCAAGTGCATGAACAAGCTGGACGTGTTCTTCAACCCCATCAGCGCAATGGAAGAAGGCAGCGTTTCCGAGGAGGACGAGGCGGCTGAGATGAAGGAGGAATCCAAGCCCATTGTTAGTAGGCCTTGCTTCCAAAGTTAGGATGTTTGTTTCTGTTACTGTATAACATCTTAATAGATGTCCAGGTCAAAACAAGCAAGGACCAAAGCAAAGGAAATCATAGTGTAATCATAGTGAAATCAAGGTGGGGACAGGTACATGGGGGGACAATGGGACAAATGATGGTGCAATAGAACAGACATTACAAAACAAGATGCTGCAATTATAGGTGCCCAGGAGGCTGAAAGTCAGAATGACTAATAGACTTTACTGAAGTTCTTTTGAATCATCAATAGCCATCAACATATACCTATACATGGAGTTATTTTTATATTTATATTTTTTAATGAAAACTAAGGACATGGGATCACTGCCCTACAAATGCATTTTACAATGCATTACCACCAACAGCCAGAGAGGGTGCTGAAGCATCCTCAGCACCCCTGCTTCCAGTGCCATCGGGTGCAATATGAGTAAGTGAAACAATAAATTAGTGATAAATAGATGATGCAATGGGGATACAGATGTGCAAATAGGCCATGATATAGTAAAAGAATTATGTTACATGGAATAATGTACAATGCATCACATTATCACTTTTCTGGGCACGATGGAATAAAAAAAAAACCTGAATACTGGTTTTTCGCATTTGCTATTAAGTTCAAATTAGACCATAAATCCACACATCTGGACCACACACGCACAAATGCTCATAAAATGAACAAACATGATTATAGGAAATTTAAGATTCAAAGTGATTCTTGACTGAGTGATGCCAGATGATTGAGTAAGGTGTGATTGACACTGATTTCCAGAATTCCAACATGAAGCTGGCAAAGGAGCTCTCTGATGTGGTCATCTATTGCAAAAGCGTCCACTTTAAGGGTTTCGAGTATGCAAGAGACAACCAGAGCTTCTATGAGTTAGCATCCTTGAAAGAGAGCAAAGCGCTCCAGCTCGCAAAAACATCAGGTAAGGCCATGAGTCGCTTTGTTACAGCTCTTCTTAAACACTTTTATCTTTCAGGAACACAGTTTCACTATGGAAGCCCTGAAGGGCAAAACACACCAGCAAATATGAAAACACACCAGCAAAAACACAACAGCAAATAAGAAAACACACTAGCAAGAACAAAAACTGTTGCACCTTGGATAGCTTTGGATAGTTGTGTGTGTGTACAGTATTGTGCAAAAGTCTTAAGCAGTCAGAGTATATTATTTTTAAATGACCTTCATGTTGATTTAAAACCATGATGTCTTTCAAAGTGTGTCAACTTTGTCATTTCAAAACCTTTCTTTAAACTCACCCCAGGATTTGCAACAACCATACAAAACACCCATGTATTTTTTGACCACTAGCATATCTAGTTTGGTTAATCAATACCTCACTGAGTCATTTAACTAATTTAATAAATGAAGTGAGCTGGAAATTTAACAAATACATTGAACGGCTGAGGTGCCCCTGAGCAGATGTTTGTGAGCTAAAGCAGTGTTCATCTAGCCATCCAACCTTTTCTCTAATGTTAAATTGTATATATATATATATATTTTTGGACAAATATACACTTACTAGCCACATAAATAGCTTTTAGCATTATCTTAAGCCCAGGTCCTCTGTATGTTAATGTTAATGTTAGGGTGTTTATTCTAATCTCCTGCTTTCCAGCCAATGCCTTCACTCGCCACAATGCAGCCAAGCTGAGCAGGATTTACCCAGCGGGCTCCAGGACGGACTCGTCCAATTATAACCCTGTGCCCATGTGGAACGTCGGCTGTCAGATAGGTAACAGACCTCGCCTAGCCGGCCGCTAAAATCAATCGGCTTTTAACAGCATATCAATCACACATGGCTTGAGAAAGTAAGTATTTACAAACTTCCTACATACCTGGCCTTCCAGGGCTGGGCCCGAGTCAGATGATAAGTCCACTTCGATTCAGTTCAGCCTCATTTAGACATTTCGGCTCCTATCAGATGTCTACACACCCTTTTTGCATTTTCTGCTTTTGTTGGCAGAAAAGCCCTATTGGGGTGGGATTAGTTGTACTTGGGGACATAATGTAATTGAAGCAATTACCAATGAGGTCCATAATTTTAATTCAATCTGAATCTTCCACGTCTGTAATTATTGCAAGCCGTGCAGCAGTGAAATGGCCGTCTTCGTTTCAGTGAATATGGACCTCTGCGATAATAGCAGTCCTGTTGGAATTGTCATCTCAGTGATAAGGTCATATCTGTAAAGGCACACAAGGCAGAAACAGCATTTACCCCCTAAAAATGAATGGGTGCTGGATTTTCCATATAAATGTGTGACAACCTAAACTTACAGCCTCTTCTGCAGCAAGGTTTTCAGTAGGTGCAGAGCAGTGCACCGATTTGTAAGCTACTGTATGGTTGTGTTTGATTAGTATGTTAACGGGATATATAGCCCTATGCTGAAAACTGTGTTGTCATTTGCTTTCTATACACACTCACTCCAGCATTAACTTTCAGACGTGATTATTTTTATCTCAGCTATCTCTGGTAATTTGGGGAAATTACACACATTTCTTATTCACCAGGCCACTTTGCAAACTACACACCAAGCCTCCCTAGCTAAAACTAATCTGAATAGGGCTAAATTCTGAAATCAAAATGAACAAACGACATCAGACCTTTTTCCACCTTTATAAAACCTCTTTATAGTGTTATAGCCAGTAACATTTTGGTTAAACCCAAAGAATCATTTGTAGGAAAAAGGATGTTAGAAAAAATCTTTTCGTGCAAACTACCCTTTTCACAGCAAATGATTTTTCCCTTCCCTTCACGGTAAGTCTGTTCTCCCACCTCTGAAACTCAAGATTTTACAGTTTTTCCCTGACTCTCTGCAGAAACATTCAAGCCCCAGCAGCAAGAGAATCTCCTATGTACAGGGCTCTTAGGTCACAAATGTTTAAAGAGGCCCAGAAATACTTTTTTCGGAAGCAATAGCTTCCATGCCCAACAGCTTAGACTTATGGGAAATATTCAAAATGGCTGCAATATGCAGGGAGTGGGTATCTACTGCCAAAAACACCTGCAGCTCCTTTAAGGTTTCATGTATCCTGCCTGACAAGCTTTTTATGTGCCTTCAGTTGAAAAGAAACCAGATCAGTGCGTTGTTTCGGTGGGGCTAGATCTTCTCCACTCCTTAGAGATGGCCGATGGCCTCCACAGTGTAACCCTGACATAGTTAATGTACTTGAATTCTTTCATAGCTCTCTGCTGAACTGCTTCGTTCAGAGAAAACATCTTGTATCCAGTGACTAGCTCAGCATCATAGAACCAAGAACCACGCAGGAGAAACCCAACAGAACTGCTGATTTGACAAAGAGTCAGACCGGTTCAGTGTGGTTGCTTGTTCCCATTTATCTTCTGATCAGATTCTCTCTGCTCACCCAAATCCTCTGCCCCATCCTGTCCACAGTGGCACTGAACTTCCAGACACCATGCTGCGAGATGGACCTGAACCAAGGCCTCTTCCTTCCAAACGGGCGCTGTGGATACATCCTGAAACCCAAATTCCTGCGTGACAAAAACTCTGGGTTTGACCCCAATGGCCTGTCCCCGGAGCTGCGGATGCAGAACACGATCTTCCATGTGATGGTAGCAGAATCTTCACATTCATGTTATTATTTTAGTTTTATTTAGAATTAGGGTATCTTTGCTCATCTTCACTGCAATTTCATTCTGGGCAGTAGGGGACTTTTAACCTTCTGGTTGCCAGTCCATCAAAAAGCAAGCTGTAATATGTTTGAGAATTGAACCTGGCTTGAATTTCTCCAATAAAACATCTGTCCATACATAGTTGGTAAACTGTAGTCAATTCAGACTGAATAACTCACAGAATGGAAAAGTTTACAGTGGTGTGAAAAAGTGTTTGCCCCCCTCCTGATTTCTTATTTTTTGTATGTTTGTCACAAGTAAATGTTTCAGATCATCAAACAAATTTAAATATTAGACAAAGATGACGCAAGTAAACACAAAATGCAGTTTTTAAATGAAGGTGTTCATTATTAAGGGGAAAAAAATCCAAACTTACATGGCCCTGTGTGAAAAAGTGATTGCCCCATTAAAACATATATGAACTGTGGTGTATCACATCTTTGGAAGAGTTCAAATTCTCTAGCCACACCCAGGCCTGTGTGATTTCTTCATTGACAACAGGTGTGGCAGTAATCAGGCCTGGGTGTGGCTAGAGAAATTGAACTCTTCCGAAAAATGTCATAGTCATGTGTGCGTATGTGTATGTGTATGAACCTGTAATCAGGTTCTGCTTCTGCAGGTCATCTCAGCACAGCAGCTGCCAAAACTGAACACAGAGAAGCCTGGGTCCATTGTGGACCCCCTTGTGAAGGTAGAAATCTTTGGTGTGCCCGGTGACACCGTTGAGAAAAAGACACACCACATCAATAATAACGGTAAGACTCATTCACCCGTCAATGATCCTGTTCCCTAGACGCTCTGTTTCTAAGGAAGTTCTTTGTCATTTCTGCATTTGCGTAGTACCATTCACTGATAAGCCCCACTAACCCTGGAGTATCTACACCACACAGATTTTCTGAAGCTCATTAAATACAGAAGCAGTACGATATCTTCTGTAACTTAGAGTAACAACGATCCAATCAAGTGACGACCAATTTTGGCAGATGAAAATCAGAAACGTGACTGTCAAGCCATAAACTGGCTTGTCTAGCCAAGATCCAGATGCTAAAAATGTTTTCATTTTAAATATCATTATTGTGGTTAACTTTTGTGCCTCATTAGATGTTTTATAAAACATTAATTTATCCATTAATCCATTTTACAACCTCTTATTCCCATCAGAGTTGCATCTAGTAAATTTAATCTATTGACGGCCTTCACTGGTATAGTAAGGTATAGTAGTAATCATCATCATCATAATCATCATCTGCCTGTCAAAGTGGCATTGCCGCAATTGCAACCATAACCAATAGGATGATTGAATAAAATGAATCAATGAATAAAAAATGCAAATAAATCATGATCTACAAAAACCCTGTAAATTCCAAATTCATCTCAGGAGTGCTAAGGCAGATTTACAAAGTCCTGTCTCACTGTGCTAAGCTAAATATTTCATATTCATCCATCAGTCTGTCTTCCAACTGTTTATTCTGAGCAAGTTTATGGGACATTTTGTGTCAATATTGAAAATAGTTTTGTATCGCATATACAGTATATAATCATTTAACTGTACTTTGCTTATCTTCGTTTTTGTTTAAAATCACAACACAATCATGGTACATGTTTAAAATGTGTCTAAAACTGCTAAAATATCTGTCTGATTTAGCCCTGAGTGGAAAGTTAGTCAGGATACATACATGTGGTGTTACAGTCATCCATACGATGGCAAAGCTCGCGACAGACACAGCACCTACAAACCGCCTGCGAGGCTTCTCAGGAATTACAAGCAAACTCCTAAACCTCCATGCAGGTTTCAAACCCATGTGGAACGAGAAGTTCAAGTTCATTATCCACGTCCCGGAGCTGACCCTGGTGCGCTTCGAGGTGGAGGACTACGACACCGCGTCCAACAACGACTTCATTGGACAGTACACTCTGCCATTCACCAGCATACAGAACGGTGAGTCCAGCAGGGGGCTTCACCCTGGTCACATCACCTTCAGCAGCAGAGCCTTACAGACACAGTGAGCTTCTCAAGGAGCCACCAGCCAAGTAACATGCTCAGAGATGGCTGGCACATTCAGACCAGCGTTTAGCTTTTTTTTCTGCACTAGGCAGAAAGTCTAAACGTTGGTAAAAGACGAGGCCATACTGCACCACAGAGGTATGCTAAAGATTAAACATTAGCATACATTACGTTTGGTGGCCATTTTTGGTCGTTTGAGTTATAGAATACCCTTTTCATTATTAATGTTAATGCTTAATAATACCATAGTCAATCCATTCTTCAGTGTGCTGGTGGACACACATGCACACACACACACACACACACAAGTTTGTAATTATATTTTTGTGGGGACTCTCTATTCATGAAGACCTCAACCCCTACCCAGCCCTAACCTTAACCATAAGTAACCAAACAAAATACGAGACTTTTGGCTTTTTTACTTTTGTGATTGCATTCACCAATCTTTGTGGGGACCCGAAAAATTGTCACCAAAACGTAAAAAAATTGGTTTTTATTACATTGTGGGGGACATTTGGCCCCCACAAAGTAATATAAACCTAATCCACACGCATGCACACACATACAAAATATGATCCGATCCATGACTATGATACAAATCAAACCATGAGTTTTGTGATCCGTTGCACCCCTAACTTTTATTCATGCCGTACTCCAAATTAATTGCATGAAGCAGCAGGGTTGGACTGGGATTAACTTTACGCCTTGGACTTTGGGCTCCTCCACAGCCCCAAGATAAATTTTGCTGAGTCAGCCCTCCCCGGTGACTCGGTGGGGGAGGGGCATAATACATTTTGCTATTCAACATACCTTTCAACGCCTTGGAAAAATGCTTGATGTGATGGATGGCCAATCCAGCCCTGTAGTGCAATGTTTATCCGCCCAGTCCACATTTTTGCTCTCTCCCAGCATACCTGAATCAAACAATCTAGAATGGACCAAACAATCAAGAAGACCGAATACCTGGTATGGGTGTGTTGGGAGCTGGGAGGGAACAAAAATGTGGACTGGCTGGGGGTCCCTGAGGACTGGGCAGAAATCCCTGGCATAAGGAGATGGATTAGCAACCACAACCTTCCAGAACAAGACAGGTTGAGGTAGCTGTCTAACTCCCATGGTAAATATTCCACTGCACGACTGGACTGTCGCCTAGCAACACTAATATTCTGTGGAACACCTTGGTTGAAAGTATGTTCCTGTCTCCTCAGGATACCGGCACATTCCTCTGTATAACAAAAGGGGACATTTAATCCCTTCAGCTGGACTCTTTGTGCACGTCATGATCATGAACTCCGAGTAGAAGCCACCTTCGGAGGCATTCGCACCTTATCATATACCAAAGGTCACTATTATCTAAGATCTGAAAAATTGGGCTGCCGTTTTTCCTTTTTTTTTTAACCAGTTGGATGTGGGGCTCCAGGTGAAGTATATGTCATTTTATTTGCAGGGACTTCATTAGCATATTTATTCTAGTCAGTATTTAAGATGTGATTTGCAGTCTATTTGTAAATGTCTCTAATTGCAGATACGAATATATAGCAGTGCATTGTCAAACATTTAAAATCAAGTGTACTTTATTATATTTCAATTATGTTCATTTCTGATGGGTTGTTTATAAATTGCAATAAACTGGAAGAGTCTGTTTATTTGGGTCAGAGTCACAAGGTGGTTTGGAGTGTCTCTCAGGCAGCAGGGCTGGGGGACACCCTGGATAGGACACTGGTCCATCGCAGGGCACGTGCACCCATACTGTCATGCACTATGAGCAAGTCAGAGACGCCCGTCAACCTAACTGTCTTTGGACTTTGGGAGTAACAGCGTGCCTGGTGAGCAAGCAAACTCCACACAGAGTCAGGTGGACAGATTCAAACCCCCAACCCTGGAGGTGTGAGGCTGCCCACCGGGACACCGCCCCCCCCATGTTGCTTTCTAAACTGAATTTAAGAACAGATGCCAATTCCATTTGATAATGCCGACAGTTCCTTCAGTTGACCATTTTCCCTTCAGTGGAATGTTTCTCGATATTTTAACTGAGCAGAGTCTTTTGGTTACTTTATATATGGATTTACCAGAGTAGAAGCTTGTGCTGAGAATTAAGCAGCCAGTCAGAAACCACAGATCAGGTAGGATTTCACAGCAAACACAGCCAACATACAGCTTATTTAGGATACTCGATTTGACATGTTTATTGGGCCTAATGACACTAGAAAGAATTCAGCAACCAGCCAACGCCCATGTATGATCCCAGGTTTCTTCCACACATGTCAGTACACAGAATCATTTAAAGTGACACAGGTGGCAGTGATTTTAATGTTCAGATTATGTGACATTTATCCACTAAAGAAAGCCAGCAAAGGCTAACTAATAAAGCAGAATGCATATATACAGGACGTTACAAAAAGGGGGTTATAACATTCTTGGCTGTAATTATATATGTTTCAGGCACATTATTTCTGTAAGAATTCAGTATTACAGTTTAGACACTAGGCTAATTGATAAAAATTCCTCTAACCAATAACACGAGCATTAATACCCCTGGAGACCTGACGAGTTCGGCAGCACTTAACAGAGTGTTATGAATTTACAGATCAGCTACTTTAGGTAGGAAGTTCCTTGTCGAGGCGTGTGTTGTCCTTGCGCTCGGTCTCCAGGATCCGCAATGTGCGAATGCTAATTTAATAGTAGCGTAGCATTCGCTGTTGCTTGGAGCTCCTCCCACTTCAGAAGAGCCCCGCCTCCTTCTTCAGGTGATTTTGCCTCCACTTTGGCAGGCGGCTGAAATCTGTTCTGGTCGTACCAAATAAGCTCTCAAAATCCGCATCAGACAGGTACTCCTGTACGAAGACACAGACAAATAAGAGAAATAGAAAAAATAATAGTCTTCTGAAAAATTGTGGCTGGATTTTACTTTTAATTGATCACCAGCCATGGGATGTGAACAAGTGACCTTCTGATCATAAGCAAAGAGCCACATGCCAGCCACACTTTGCTAAGAACATGTAATGGATTCCACTATGTCATTACTCATTCCATTCATGCATCCATCTACCAATCTCCCAACTGCTGATCCTGGTCAGGGTCATGGGGGTGGGGGGGCTGGAACCTATCACAGGCAGCTCAGAATACAAGGCTGGGGTACACTGGGATGCCAGCACATCACAAAGCATATACCATCATAAACTACATTACATCATAGTACATTGGCCATTCAGGAGCCCAACTGTGACATCACCCTGCCAACCACAGGAGTTGAACCAGCAACCTTCCAATCACAGACACAGCTTCTTAACCCACTGACCCACACACTTAAGACATAACATGCTAGCAGTCTCAGTGTGGCGCACAGGGCGGGTGTAGCACTAGGCTGGCCGAAACCTAATACGGTGTGTGACTCCACCTAGTGTCATCCGGCAGGTTAACCTGAATCGCACGTCCATAGCGCTACACCTCCTTCCCATTTGCTCACCTCCTTCTTGCTGGGATCCACACCCGAGGGCAGCTCCTCTGGGTCTTTGTTGACTAACAGCTGGGGGGAGAAGGCAGAGCCTTTGCTGGCTGAGGTACTGGGGCCTTTACTGGGAGGTGGGGTGCTTTGGCTGGAAGGCTGGGGACTCTTTAGTATGGATTTGTGAGCCGGGGGGGAGCTGACAGGGCCGCCGGGGGCGCTGTATGGTTTTTGAGGGCCCCCGTTCTTCTGGCTGAGGCTGGTGTTGTTCAGATCCTGGAAACACACAAGAGACATTCATTCTCATTCTTCCCCATTTTTTATAAATGTATTGCAAAGGGCAGAGAAACTTCAGAGTTTAACGATGTGACCAGAGTTACAGACTCAATTATAATTCATGGGGCAAATCAGGCACTAATTAAAATGTACATACAAACAGGTATGATCATGATCAATTTGATGGTTCGTGATACTGGATCAGGATTAGAGAAATATACTTTTAAGAACGTATTTCATTTACAGAAGTTTTTGTCCTGCGCTCATCTCAGCATTACTGCCGTAAAAGCTTGATAGTCTAGCATCTACAGTGAAGCATGTTTACAACATATGTTCAAGCCCAGTAGGAAAAACTTACAACAGTTATATTGGAGATGGATGCCCCATCACCCAGTTTGTTCTTCATTTCCTCATACGAATTGGCACCGTGCTAAAAAGAGAAGATGATGATTGTTCTCATAGGTATCATTAGAGAGTAACCCAGTCAGACTGGGAAGTGAAGAGGACTTCCAACAGAGGGCAGAATCTGCACATTAAATAAGGAGGCATAGTCAACAGAAAACAGAGTGTCTATATTACATTAAAATATAATACAGGCAGATACTGCAACATGTAATAAGGCGTGGTTAGTAGAGGGCAGACAGCATATACTGTAAAATCACCAGGCATAACCAGTAGAGGGCAGAGTGTGCATTTAAAACCCCGTTTCGATCCCAGGTTCTGGCCAAATGATTCAGCCTTAGCTGAAGTTTAAAGTGTCCAAGCACACTCACATGTAAAAGTGATTTGGAAACATTATAAGATAATTTGCAAGAAATAATTAAAGTTAACTCAATATAATAATTACTATTAACATCATTAAAGACCTTGTTATTTCTTGAATAATTCTCATTGTTTAGCAGCTGAAAATCTTAACAATGACCGTGGTTAACCATGAAGACCCAAGGAGAATACACAGTTCTAAAAGACTGGATAGCACATATATTATTATTATTATTGTCATTATTATTATTATTGTGTTTATTTGCATTAAATACACTATTGCAAGCTAACTTTTTATTCTTTAAGCCCGTTATTGTGTCACCCTGCTCTGTCACCCTGCCCTGACTCAGTCTGCCCAATGACACTCACACTCCACTTGTGGGGGTCCCAGGCGTTGAACCAGCCAGTGAAGGTGGGGGGCTCGGAGCCCTGCTTCACCGTGATTATGGGCGTGCCGGGATCCCGGCCGGCCGGGTGGGTGTTCAGATACTCCACCGCGCTGGTGGCCGACTCCTTGATCTCATAGTCGTTTGCCGACTTGCCAATCCACAGAAAGATCTGGGAGGGGCGGGACAACCAAATACAACTGATTAGACATGTAACCAATGGTTTCCACTCCCGGGACGAGACTTCAGCTGGGGACGAACAGGACATGATGTGAAGGTGTGAACTGCACAGAGATAGCAGGACAGCAGGAACTCAAGCACGGAAATCATACAGATATAGCCGTTTATTTAATTTATTTACATTTTATTTAAGAAGTTTAATTTTGCTGTCTTATCACAAGAGCACTTTGAAGATTACCAATGTGCACCTTCTCGGGGAATTAGAAAGCACAAATTAAGTAAAATACATTCTAATAATATACATACTTAAGTGTAACCTTATGTACACCATGGGATATCCATATATTATTTTTATAGTAAGTGATGAACAATTGAGATGGCAGGATCAGCCAGTCCCTGAAGCAAATGGGAGTTAAGGGCCTTGCTCAGGGGTGCAATGGTGAAATTACTCTACCAACCTTGCGATTTAACCAGCCCTCCCCAAATGGCACCGGTGTACCATGTCACTGGTAGCTATCACAAGCTGAAACCCGGTGTTCTCAGAAATGTTGAAGCTTTCGTGACATTTACAATTTTAAAATAATAATTTCTGGTGCTAGTTCTTCTATTCCTGTCAATAATATCAGTAAAAAGGAGATTTAAACGATGGCAGAGCCTCCTCTCCGCTCCTCAACGCCTGCTTGGACATGGGAGGACAGGAGGATGGAAGCAGCTCACCTCATCCCAGGTGTCCAGCAGCATGACGTCATCCTCGTCCAGGTCCTCCTGTGCAAAATCGCTTATCTCTGTCATCAGGAAGCGGCCCGTCTGGTTGGAGCACTCGAACAGCCTCGGCGCATGGGCGACTTTCTCCTGCTGGAATCTGTGAAGGACGCCGGCGTCACAGGGCGGTTGCCGGTAACCGCAGGACCTGCACATAACTCCAGCAAGTTCTCAAAGAGACGGCAAGCAAACCTCTTATCGCTGGCATAGGGAGCCTTCCCTCCCAAACACACCCAGAAATCAGCAGGCTCCTGTCCCTCCATCACAATCTGTTTGTCCTGCTTAGAGATGATGTCAGCCAACGACTTGCCCATCTCCCTCTCGTCCCCACTGCAGCCCTGCACCAGGATGAAATAAAAAATTACATGCTTTAGTTGCCATTCACACGATGCAATACAGGTGCATTGGAATGCGTCTTTTTGCGTATCTCCTTTGAGATATACACACGTATAAAACCCAGCAAAGCTTGGACTCCAAGTGCAGGGTCAGGCCATTTATCTCGTATCACTGGAACTTTTCGGGGGGGTTAAGTACTTCGCTGAAGGGCTCAACAATGGGCCAAGTATTCTGTCAAAGTTGGAATTAAAACTGACGACCTTCTGGATACACTCACAGAGCCCTAATCCTTTGTGTGTGTGTGTCCCCTAAATGTGCCACTTGAGAATTAACCCTCACTAACCCAAAAGTTGAAGGCATTAAGCCCCACGGATACAAACAGGTCTACAAACTACAAGCGAGAAGGTCTAGGAAGGTTGGCCCACCTTGCCGTACCACAGGTAGCAGACCTTGTCGGTCTTGAGCAGGAAGACGTCATTGGTATTGAGGGAGGAGGCAC